GCTGCACAGACTCAATCATTATCCCTTGGCGTGTGGGGCAGTGCCTGAAACTGAAGGCACCACCCCTCGACTCGAAGGGGGCAACGTGGGTAGAATCTTGCTTGAACCCTCCTCAATCCCCCTACTGAAGGTGACCGCAAACTCATCTGATCAATCTGCATGTATTACAGTATTTGGTTCTTCATGACAGCTTGAGGATATGCTGAGAAACTCATGTATGGCCATGGAAGTCCTCCTGCAAAGCCTCGTAGCGTGCGTCATAATCCTCCAGCAGACGCCTGGGCGATTTTCCCAGTAAATCAATGCTCCATTTTCTGGGATCCTGGTTGGGGAATCCCTATATGTCTTTGCTTGGGCGTATCTCTAGGCTTTCAAAGCTCAAACTTCGATAGGCTGTCAGGCAAGAATCTACGTATACCAAAGAGAGCCTAGCTGGATGCCTGAGAGTAATCTTGTTGATAACTGAGATCGAACACAGCACCCGACACGAATTGCCCTGGAGAGCATAGTGGCATAGTAGACACCTCAATTTTGATGACCCATTTGAGGCTGCCACATGTGGGACATGTCCGTTTCCAGGCCATCCACTACAGGTTGCAGCCTTGAAGAGACCACACAGGTGGCAAGCAGCTTTGATCCGCCAGTGTGGCGGGGATCACATACACGTAGTCTGGGGAGGCTGCTCTTCTATCTGGTCCCAGAGGCCGTGAGTTATCTTGTCAAAGCGAATTTCACGGTTAAATTGTTGCACATTGCCATCTCCTAGTGTGCACATCTACTGAGGCTGAAGCAGCATTCTCAACAATCTTGCGGGTGGATGCATCCTGCCGCACAATCTGATTGTTCCGCCTACCCAAGGTATTTTGTCGGGTATATGGCACGCTATTTAATAGTCTGCAAGAACTTCAGGGCCCCGGGACTGTCCGGAAATTCGTCTGCCACTATCTTGCCAATCTCGGTGGTTTGCATGTACTTCAGGGCATAGGCCAAGAGATTTCTCCTTCGTATGCTCTAAACGCCAGAGCATCATGTCTCACACATGACAGCGAGGCGGAAATCATCCACATGAATGGGGGTGAACTACAAAGGCAGTGCAGGATCTGGTTTGCCATCCCCAAGATTGTCTGAGCCCTGCACCAGTTCTTGCCTCCGAGCAAATCCAGCTTGTCTTGCAGCACCCGAATCTCTTCCAGTAAATGACCCTTGCAGCAGCTGGGTGCCAGGGTGCCAGGTCACCAGCTCTGCTATGCTCTGCTTCGCTCGACTGAGCAGCAGGCTGAGAAGCATCCGCTCGCTCTTCTGATGCACTCCAAAGTGTGATCCTGGGCAGCTCTGCGGCCATGGAGCACGAGAGGGCCAGGTGCGGCTTTCTTGCAAAGAGCGATGCCCATTCCCTCTGTAACTAGCACTCTAAGCGTCGTCAAAGTAGAGCTCGGGCACAAAGAAGCGGACAGGACCTGAAGGCCGTGAACGGAGCCCACGAAAGAGAACCTACTACCGAAGGAGAACAAGCCTCTCTCAAAAACGCCTAGCCATGTTTGCACAGCATGACTGCAAAGACGTACACGTAGGCCATGGGCAGGGCTCACCGAGAGTCGTTACTGCACCCTCCTGTTGCAAAAACTAGCCAAGGTCACAGAGCCACAGCAAGCGCAACAGCAAGCGCAACCAACCCGCCTCCTCAACTTCAACTGCCCTGCGAACTCTACCTACCAGCCTTGGCCCCCCAAAGAAGGCGGTAACTTCTGCATCATTTGGACCATTTTCGACATGCTGAGGAAGCAGCCCGCGCAGCTTCCAAAGGTCAACGAGGAAGGCCAGCCGCGTCTCCTCCATGACCTTCTTGGCCTTCCTGGACATTAGGAGCTGGGAGCTAATGGATTTTTCTACGCAGGAAATGCTGGGAGCCTGAAGCGCTTGTGTCGCATGGCCTGCGACTCGGTCACGAGATTCACAAGGTCGGCGCTGATGAGAAACCGCCTCTCTCTCTCTGTATCGCGTCTTGGATTCTCGTATGGTTTTTATGTGGAAGGAACCTTGGACAGCCACAAGTAGCAAAAGCGATTGGATTTCTTTTGAAGAAACCCTTCCCATGCGTCAAATTGTTAGGCCATTACGAGCAACACCGTTTAACACCATTTTGGACATTTGTATCACGCCTGCGCCTGGTCAAGGGTGAACGATTGTGTGTATGGCAGGAAAACCATGCTTGGGTATATGCTCTGAAGTCAGGCATGAACGTACCCACCCGTAGACTGCGTGACTGCATCCCATGACAGCTTTGGGCAAGGGCGGGCGCTTCGAGATGTTCGAAACAACCGACAGAAATGAATGAAAAGACCTCACCTCATCAGGATAAAAAAAAAAAAAAAAAAAAA